ACCTGAATAGATTTTACTACTACTGCACTGTATGTATATATATGTGAAAATGTAAATGTCATGCTGTGACAAATAAAGTCTAAATCTATTATAAGTGAAACATTTGACCTTGTGGTGGCGCTACAGGATCATCAAAGTCAGTAAGATTCATGCCCTGGGGATCATTAAATCTGTTACCAAATTTCATTGCAATCCATCAAATAGTTATTATGAGATATTTCAGCCTGGACAATGGAGGAGGGTTTGAACAACTAACATCCGTTTAGCCATTCTGCTAACATTGCTTAATATGACATGACATGATTATATAAAAACTGTTTAAAGAAATAAATATGACTACCCCCACTTTTATATATCCGATTACAGCACTGTATGCTCATGAGCTATACTTGTGATGTTTCAGTGCCATCCATCTTCGGTAGCCTACTTACCTGACAGACCCATTCTGTTTATGCCATTTTACAGGATAATCCCCTAAGCAATCTCATTTTCATAATGCGTCATCGGAAGTTGAAAGGGCCTAAAATAAAGCCAGAAGTATAGTATTTAGGTAATTCCACTGCTGCAACCAACAGGGTGATGAGATTAAGAAATTGAGAATTGCTTTAAAAAAAAGTGGTGGAGGTCAGTCGAGGCCATTTCATCATCGTTTAACAATCACAGCATCTATCTACCTCTATCTTTTACCCTGACACTTACTCACTGTGAGCTGACAGGTTGAAGGATGTTTCTAAATCCCTTTTCTCTCCCTTGGGGCTGTTGGCTGCAGGCACATCTCACACTTCCATTTCTCTTTTTGCCTCTTGTTCAAATCAGATTTTTCTGTTCTCTTGTATATTACAAAAGCAGCAGATATGGTAGCTTCAATCGGTTTGATGTATTCTCTTAATTATTGGTGCGTTTTTTTTTTGTGTTGCACCTGATCTCTGCAGATTGCTAGTTTTTAGTGCAGATAGATTTTTATTCAGCTCAAATACATTTCGCTTCTCAGAGGAGCCTGTTTTGGCTGCGAGCGTCTCTGCTCAGCTCTCCCTGCTGGAGATGATTCAGTAACCTACGTTTTCTGGTTTTGTTGTAAAGCCTGCTTTGCATTCTCCTCCTGTCCAAACACAGGCTTTCTTACATCCTTGCAACGCTTTGTTCAGATCCAATATGCACCTCTCTGTGAGTCTCTGTCTCACTCCACTCCATTTTCTTTGTGCTTGTCTGTGTATATTTGAATCCCCAAGTGTGTGTGTTATGTCCCTGCATCATTTAATTCAGCTCAGTATTGTATGACCGGAGGGGAGAGAGGGCACCAAAGGGGGAGGGAGTCAGAGCCGATAGTGAAAGACAAACTGTGACCAGTAGACCGGTCGCTGTGTGATCCAAATGGACAGGCTGTGTAGAATCATTCAGAGCTGCCAGGCTGCAATGTGTGAGAGAGGAGAGGAGTCTGTCAGGTAGAGGGTTTTCTTCCTGCATGACTCATCCTGTCGTAGAACGTCTTGGATGACAGTCTGTGACGAGTGGACAACCGTTTTGGTCATGCAGAACCACACAGTGCACACCTGGCTTGTCTTTCTGGTTGACTCAATATATTCTCCATTACAACAGAGCTTTTCATTTATAGTGACAATGTGGTGTGGTTTAAAGGGCCTGCATGCCAACACTTATGTTTTCAGTTTTTCTGGACGTTTAGAACCTTGTTCAGTCTTAATTTAGGTGGAGCTTGGCCGGGTGTTACATGAGATTTGTCACAGGGTGTGAATGATGCAGCCTGGAAAAGGACACAAATGCAGCCAACCAGGCATACAGGAACAGTTCAGTGATTTTAAAATGATAATATATACACTTAATGGTAAAGGAAGCAAGTCCAGAACAAAACAGAAGTATCAGAGAACTTAGAAGTTTAACAGGAATGGGGCAGGTAAAAGATTAATATAGCCATGTAGGTAGGAGTCTGAAGGCTAGAAAGAAAAGACAAACCAACATTGACAATCTGGAAACATCCCGAAAGGATATGGCTGATTACTTACGTAATTGCCAGGTAATCATACTGGTTGTAAACAAGATGGTTATCTTCCACTTTATTTGGAGGTACAGTGCCTTGCGAAAGTATCGCCTTGAACTTTTCAACCTTTTGCCACATTTCAGGCTTCAAACATAAAGATATAAAATTTCTTTATTTTTTGTGGAAGAAATCACAAACAAGCTGGGCAGCACAATTGTGCAAGTGGAACGAAATCTATTGGATTTTTGAAACTTTTTAACTAATATAAAAGAAATGAAAAAGGGGGCGTGCAAAAATTATTCGGGCCCCCTTCGCGTTAATACTTTGTAGGCAGCCACCTTTGCTGCGATTACAGCTGCAAGGTTCGCTTGGGATGCCTCAATCACGTTTTGCCACATCGAGGAGACTTGAAATCTTGCCCATTCTTCCTTGCAAAACAGCTCGAGCTCAGTGGAGGTTTGGAATGGAGAACGCGTTTTCGTGAACAGCAGTTTAGCCTTTCCACAGATTCTCGATGGATTCAGGTTTCTGGGCACTTTGACTTGCCATTCTAAACACCTGGATGCGTTTATTTGTGAACATTCCTTTGTAGATTTTGCTGTAGTTTGGGATCATTGTCTGTTGGGAAGATAAATCTCCGGTCCCAGTTTCAGGTCTTTGCCAGACTCAACAGGTTTTTCATCCAGAATGCGTCCTGTATTTGGCTGATCCATCTTCCCCTCAATTTTAACCATCTCCCTGTCCCTGTGCTGAAGAAAAGCAGGCCCAAAACCATGATGCTGCCAACCACCATGTTTGACAGTGGGGGGGCCGGCGATGGTGTGTAGGTGATTGAGGCGTCGTTGCTTTTACGCCAAACATATCGTTTTGCATTGGGTGGGCAAAAAGTCTCGATTTTTGGTTTCATCTGAACCAGAGCACCTTCTTCCACATGTTTTGGTGTGTCTCCAGGTGTGCTTGTGCAAAACCTTTAGGACGGAGACTTTTTATGGGATATCTTTTGAGAAGATGGCATTTCTTCTTGCCACTCTTCCATAAAGGGCCAGATTCTGCTGCAGTGGTACGGACCTGCATTGTTTGTCCTATGACAGGACTCTCCCACCTCAGCTGTAGTTCTCTGCATTCACTCCAGGAGTGATCATGGGCCTCTTGGGGCTGGCATCTCTGATCAGTCTTCTCCTGTTCTGAGGCTGAAAGTTTAGAGGGACGGCCAGGTCTTGGTAGAGTTTGCAAGTGGATCTGGATTTCTCCTTCCAAGTTTCAAAAATTGATCGGCTGCACAGTGCTCCTTGGGATGTTTAAAGCTTTGGAAATCTTTTTGTATCCAAATCCGGGGCTTTAAACTTCTCCACAACAGTATTTACGGACCTGCCTGTGTGTTCCTTGGTCTTCATGGATGCTCTCTGCGCTTTTACAGAACCCTGAGACTTATCACAGAGCAGGTGAATTATACAGAGACTTTGATTTACACACCAGGTGGATTCTATTTATCACCATCAGCTTCATTAGGGACACAATTGGATCATTCAGAGCATCCTCGCTGAACTTCTTTGTGGAGTTAGTTGCTGCACTGGAAAGTAAAGGGGCCGAATTAATTTTGCACGACCACCACTTTTCAGTTTTTTATTTGCTAAAAAAGTTTTAAAATATCAATAGATTTCGTTCCACTTCACAATTTGTGTTCCCACTTGGGTGGGTGATTCTTCACAAAAAAAATAAAATTTTTTATTATCTTTATGGTTTGAAGGCCGAAATGTGCAAAGGTTGAAAAGTTCAAGGGCGCCGAATACTTTCGCAAGGCACTGTAATGTGAAGGGTTTAGTCATCCAAAATATCAGTTATGTATTTGACCATGTTCACAGAGTTAAGGTAGCCTCAATTTTGGGAAATTAAGAAAGTAGGACTGTAAACTTGTGGTGGATGCTTTGGGCAATGATTTTACCCTTCACCTGCCACATTCTCTTCTAAATACTTAACTTAAAATAACGTAACCTGAACCTATTTTGTTAGTTGAGGTTGCCATTAGCTACGAAAAATAAAACTTGATGTTGTTAATAAAGGTAATTTTCCTTTTAATATATCGGTGTTTGAGTTTTTTGGGCCACTTAGCGGCCTATGAAGCAGTTTTTGTTTGTATTGTAATTCTCGAATGTTACCTTGCGAGGACACGTGTTTCCTCTGCTGGTTGGTTTTCACACTATTCCACTGATCAAAGGTGGGATTGGCGATACAGGCTGCCAATAAAATGGTATCAATGTTCCCACCAAAGGACAGGGAATAAGATAATTGTTTTGATGATTGTAAACAAGGGCATAACACACTTCATAATTTCATCATTTATTACACACTGTGTTTTTGCCAAGAAACAGTGCATGTAAACATAACCCTGTTTTGATTTACAAGAAAACTCTAAAGGGTTCCTAGAAATGGAGTGCAGGCAGCACTTGATGCAACACATATAACATTCAAATATTTATCAGCGTAATTTATCAGAAAGCAGCCAAATAGTGGGGTTGGCTGAAGGTCTAACAATACCTTTCTTTAGGGGATGAAACACATTCAGGTCAAATTTACAGGCTTGCCAAATGTTCAACCAATGAGGTGGGAAAGATGTGTTACCAGACTCTTGTCGTATTGTTGCATGTTGTCAATGTTTTTTTGTTTACTTTGCTGCACAATAAGCTGTCCATTCAGGTTTGTAATAAGCAGCATGTACGATTTGGTATAAAGCCAAATTAAATGGACTGGAAATGACGCTCCAGCTGTTTGCACCAAAAAAAGAGCCAAAGTTCAAAAACACCTGGTGTAGAATGAACTGTTAGCGGTGGGTGGCGAGCTTAAATGGCTGTTTAGCTTTGATTAGTTAAAAAGCTTCAAGAAAAATGTAGTGCCATTATTTGATATGGCAGAGGTGAGAAATGGGATTTTTTTTTGCTGCACTGTCTTACTTTCTATGTTTATGTGTGGGTTGGTGTGTGTGTGTGTTATGTGTATGTGTGTGTCCCAGCAGATGTTATGGAGGGAAGAGCGCCATTTTGCCTGGGCATGAGTCAGTCGAACTCAAATGACCTTGGCTGGAGCAGATTGGAACCCTGGGACACATGGAGGACCAGTCGAATGGTTACACACACACACACTTCTACAATTTATAATCACTCTCAAGACACACAGAGACACATCAAGCACAAAAGAGGTGGGCTTTTGGCTGCTTACACGTCTATAATGCAAAGGTTCAAAATTGGTCTGGAATGAGTCTTTCACTGAATAATGATAATTGATGGGCTGTTGTGTAGACGAACTGTAGCACTTATATTCAAAGGCTACATTCAAGCCATTTTATAACCACTAGGGGGTCGAATGGGAGTTAAAAAAACTATTCCTCGCATTTTATCACTTACTAGTTTTCAGGGCTGGGGCCCGGTAGGACAGTATGTGCTTTGCTATATAAAAGTGGCTGAGGTTAAGTAGCTTTTTCATGGGGGATGGCCAAATGAGGTTGGTTTGGAAAGTGGACGTCAGGCCGACATTAGCGACATATTAATTTTATCCTGTAAATATAGGGCCAGCATACATCAGATGAGGAGAGAGAAGAGCACAGAGAGAGGAGACTCTGGAGAGACGGCAGAGAGAGAGAGAAGAGAGAGAGGAGATTCAGGAGCGCCCATTAGTTTTTTAACCGGCCCTACAGTGGTGAAACGGATTAAAGCCGACGGCGCGGAGCGACCGGGCGTGTCGGTCCAGACAAGTCTGATTAACTGCACAGGTCTCTCACTTCAACTTAAATAAAGAGAATGTCCCACAAAGCAACCCTTACAGACCAAAAAACAACAACGGAGTAACGTAGTTTCTTTGGAAATTATTATGGGAGGGGAAAAAAAATACCACAGCTGTAGTACATGGAGAAGCGTCTGTCACTACTGTCTGGTTCCTCCGCGACCGATGACATCAGTTTACTTTCACTTTCCAGGATGTTTGCGGCTCTGCAGGGTGAATTGGGCTCTGGCGTGGCACGTGGGCTATTGGGTGGGCTTTATCGTTGGCAATGCTAGCGGAATTCGGAACAATTTATGAAATAATTTATTAACGGTATCTTTATAGTCCCAAACAAAGCCAACGTTGCACACCCTTAAACCACACAGCCAGCCATGTTGAAACTCTAGGTCAGTCTGATCCTGATCTGCAGAGATGATTTTGGGAGGGCCACACACAGGCTCCACACACACACACAACACACAACACACACACGACACACACACAGACAGACAGAGATTTCTTGCTTTATAGATAGATAAAGGTGACTAACCCTTTCACACTATACTGAGTCATCTGACACCATGTTAATATCAAAAGAGTCACATTTGACAGGAACTGCCCAAGTAGTTTGGGGCATAATCTAGGAAGAGTGGAAGGGATTGGATGTCCCTTTACTGCAAATGTTGAACATGTAGTTAGTGATGCTTTAAATGAGCATCAATAATCGGAAGAACATACCGTGAGCAGAAGATAAGATTGGCTGAGATCTAACATGCAGATATGTGATGTGTTTCCAGCTCCGTGGTCCTTCTCCGTGCTCTGTGATGCCTGAGGAAGAGCACTGAGCTTGAAACGTGCATATCCGTGTTTGTACCCCTGCTCTTTCTGCAGTGTATTTATGCGCATCTAAAGCATCACTTGAAATAAAATTCAGCCTTTGCAAGCAAGAGGTTCCAATCTTTTTCACGTCTGTTTAAGGCTACCATTACATTTCAAACTAAACCTGACAGGACTACAAATGGGATGAGCACAGGATCCGTGTGGATGCTCAGCTTCCTTTTGCTTATTCTTTTTATCCAATCCATTGGAACATTTTTCTTCTATGCACAATGGGAAGATTTTTTGGGGATTTTAGAGGTTTCTCCTCTTTTCTGTTTACTTTTATGTCTACCCTTCCTCAATGCTCTCACTTCAAGGCCCCGAGGACTAACATAGCAACTGTTTTTCTTTATTTTTGCCTGGGGCCCAAGCTGAAAGACTTTTCTGGATTCTTGCTTAGAGAAAAGCTTCTCTCATAATTCAGCAAATCAAAAGCCTCTACATCTGTTTCTTTTGTGTTAAGTAGAATCATCCGAAACAATAAGATGCTGTGTCTGTACAGAGCAGTAGAAATATTTCTTAGACAAACAATCAGGCAGGAGGAATATCACATTTGAGCCGGTTTTTATATCAACACAGACTTTAAATCAAACGATTCTTCTAATGAATTCTTCCTGTGCGAAAGTTATTTAATTAGATTTAAGTCTCTGGTGTGATTATCCATCCACAGTAACTGAATAACATATCGCCCAGAGATTTAACAGCACAGTATTTTTCAGATTAAGAAAAGTTCAGTTTGTGCCTTCAAAGATCATGAATAAGTACTGGGATTTATGCAGATCAGTGGTTTTTAATAGAATAATCAAACTCCCACAGCAGCGTGTTTCATGTGAGAGAAATTCGATCACAGTGAGTAAATTGCTTTATGTTTTTTTTATAATGTTTTATAGCATTTTTGTCAATCTTTACTTTGGTTTTAAAGCTAGGTGTAAATGTTAAGTGGTGCTGTTACTGATCAAAAGGTAAACAAAGATTCATATAATGTTTTTTTGTTTTTTTTAAAACTATTTAGTGTCTCTTGTTTTGTTTCTTCAGCCTAACATAAAATCTTCCTTCATTATTACACAAAACAAGAGTGGCTTTAAATTGGAAAGAAACAGTCAGAGTAAGTTTATAAGACAAAATCAATGATAATAGCATGATTTCAACACAAGCTCACAACTCATCTGTCAGCCCTGTTCTGATAGCATGGCACTTGTTTTGGGTTTTGTTTACTGATAAATGGACCGGCTCTCATTGTAAAGGTCAGTGCTGAGATTTGACAAACTGGAGTGGACGCTTTTAATCACTGCGGTTCAGTGGGAGTGTAGTCTGGTCCTGCAGAGATGAAAGAGACTGCTCCTGCAGGGATGCTGTACTAAGTCATGTGGTGCTAACTGAAGAAGTGGGTACATTGTGAATATTTAACACCCCCCACACACCCCATCAAAAGACCACTCAAAAACCAGTAATGACCTGTGAAGTACTTCACTGCAGCAACAGCACAAGTCAGTTATTGTAGTGCTCCAGAATAATGTTGACAACGCCAGTGCCTTTCAAAATAATGGAATTTTATATTTTTATTTTGTCAACAAATCCCATGAAAAGACCAAAGTCAATAATATATTGATCCTACTTTGCTAATATAGAACAGTCTTATACTTTAATGCACTAATCAGGTGTCATATTATTGTATAAACAGCAGTCTGAGTTTAAGTGGGTATCTTCTAAAGTAATGGTGTTTTTAGTACAGAAGTGTGTCCCTAGACATTACTGCAAAGCCAAGGAGATACCATAGCTTGTTTCTGCAGCACCCTAAAAATATCCATTATTGTTTAAAGGTCCAGTGTGTAACATTTAGGAGGCTCTTTGGCACAAATTGAATGTAATATTCAATGGTTTTCATATAATCCCCTAAATATAGGAAATTGTTTTTGTTAGCTTAGTTTTTACTGTTTATATCTACAGATGCCACAGGTCGCCTTCCGTGGAACCGTGTTGAACCTCCATACACCTCCAACAAACATATATTACAAAGCACACAGCAAGGTGACTAAAGAGAGTTGTTGATTGGATAGGACAGGAGGTTCACATAGTTGATAGCCTCCTGCTGCCACTGTTGTCAGTTACTGTAAATCTCTTGGCTCCTGCATCAGTCATATCAGAAAAAAATGAGGGCCTTCTTTGTGCGCCATTTCTCCATTAATGGCAGGGTCTCTGATGCTGCAGCTGGTACACACAAAAATGGTGCTTGAGAACTTAAGTATACTCAGTGCCCATTGAAAAAAATAACCTCGGGGGATATGTTACCTTAAATGGAGACTGCAAAGTATATGATGTCTGGCGTTTACCCATTGTGGGAGACATTATTAAACAATCATGCAGCGTGTCTTGTTAAAAACTGCGTGTACCCCCAGTATCTCCAGACTTACACCCACTGAGCCCATCACTCTTTATCTTTTATCATCTAGGAAAACATTAAGAGTACACTGGCCAATCTTCTTTATGAAATGGAAAGAGTGGCAGAGATTAGGTGCTCCTACTGTAATATAATCAATGTGAAGCTGTGTCTCATACAGCATGCCTTTTCCATTTCAAACACACCACACAACTGAAACGGAAAAGCATGTCTGCAAACACTAGTAATATTGCATAATATTGTTTTCCAGCAAACCTTTTATCAGATCCTGAATTCAGGATATCTTCATGATGGGATATCTTGTTCCACTTAAAACCTTCTGAAGTGGAAAAAAAATACTGCGACTGCTGGTTCCAAAAAAACATCTCAAAGCGACAATAGCTGCTGCAACAAAAAGTGGCAGATCATTTGAACATTAAGAGAATCAGGTGATATTTTAAAGACATTTTGTTGCGTTTGACTGGCAATTTGGATGACAGGAAACAAGGGAAGGAGAGATGCAGTAAAGGTCCACATGTGGATTCAAACTGGACATTTGGGGTTCATGGTTGACTTCTTAACCTCTAAGTCACTGGAGTGCTCCCTGGCACAGGTATGTTTGAGGGTAATAGAAGTAATGTTGCCATTAGAAGAGAACCCTGACAAATATGACCCGCTTGATAAGTAAAGCTTTAAAGTCTGCATTAACTTGACCTCTTTCACATACAAGTAGTTAAGTAATTGATTGTTGATTGAAAAATATTGATTATGGATGCTTTAAACTCAGGTTGGTATTGTCGGTGCTTGAAAGGGGAGGGAAGCAACAGATTTACAACACCAGATTCCATTAAATCCTACACACCGGACCTTTAATGTGTCTAAAGTGTCGGCTTAGTTTCTGTGATATTCAATTATCATCTCTCAAAACTCTTAAATGAGTCACTAATAACCACAGCAGTGGTGCCTCCAGACATGTTTCATAGTGGTGGTCATTTGTATCTAATGTAAAATATCAGATAGAAGCATATTATGCAGGTGACTCGAGAGGCGGTACGTGTGGGGATATTAATTGTTATTGGTTTGTGATAAAAGGTGAAGAGAAGACTTAGAG